AGACGGTGACACTGCCCCTAATGCTTTCCCAACACTATCATGTATTGTATTTAAGTTAAAACATAGTTGGAACACTCATTAAACCTTTATTTTGTCAATCTGGAGCTTGAAATCTCCCCCGTAACAATGCGTGACTGCCAACTCTCATCAACTCTTATCAACTCTTATCCTCGTTTGATCGAACTTAACTTGGTGGTTGGGGAACACTCTGCCAAATAAATTTTCTACTCGTGGTATTTTCCACAAAGCAAGTCATTTAAGATTTTTGCCATACCTCGACCTTGCTAGCATTGCATTGTTTTATCTACCATATGTCCATATCAGATTATTTCACATATCATATTCAATTATTTTAAATGGGCTAATAAAAACGACTTTTAGTATAATAATTAAATTATTAAAATAATTGGTGTTTTACGTAAATCGCATTTTTTGGCTAACCCATGACATTTGCAAACCTTGACTGACTCTTTTTATATGAGTCGATAGTAAAAATGGGCCCACTTAATATACGTCCTCCCTATATTCCTTTTGAGGGGTCAAGATATCGAATGTGAGAAGAGGGGGTTTTCACCTTAAATTTCCAAGGGGATATGTTATGTCTTATGAGCTTTTCAAAAATGTGCCAAAAATTAGTGTTTAGGCGAGGGGAAATGATATCATAAAGGGTTAGTTGGATATCGTACTGGATAATTTCTAAAAGTGTCTCCAAGGGGGATTCAGATATTTTTATCATAAAGGGATTATGAAGGAACTCCTCATTGGGGGGTGTCTTTAATTGGAATGGCTCAATTAAACCTGTGATCTCACAGAGATTAAGGCACTTCCTCTGACGACTACGCCAACAGAGCCCCCTTTTTGCTCTCGAGAAGTCACTTTAAATCCAATTCATTCCCAATCACAAGTTTCAAGTAGGCTTTAAACAATATGCACGCAAACACTATCGAAGTTTCTCCATATAGCTTTGTTTACGTCCGTACAGGAATTTTCTTATCCTATTAATTGGAGATTAGGGATCTTGGCATCATCAAAGTGTTCAGTTATAGGCCTGCATTGTATGCAATATGCAGTTTACTCCCTCGCCCCAAGAAGAGTATTTCTATTTTGTCTTTACCAAACACCGCAGCTTTTCTTCAGGTATTTAGTTTCCTCCTTCAGTAACACCAAACTAATTAACAATTAGACAATGAGGCCGAGTTGTCTATTAGCGAATAGTCAACGAGGCGAACTTGTTTTAGTATAAACTTTAGCATTAATTTACAACTAGGCTGCAAACACAATACAAAAATACACAAAAAAACATTATAAAACCATTAAAGCTAAACAAATATTTTAGTTTTTGTTCGCGTAAAATGTTTTACAAAATTCAGTTTTAATTTTAAAATTTCATTGAGTGTGTGTTATTTTGTCTATTTTCTTACCCTTAAAAATTGCCATTCCATATTTTTGTTGCTTTTTCGGGGTTTTTTAGTACAGAATTGTTCAACAAGTCGTCCAAAAAAATCATCAGACACTTCGGCAAAAGTGCAAAACGCGAATTTTCCGCCATTTTGAATTTTCTATTAGTAGGCTATCACTAATAGCCTACTAGTAGCGTAGCCAATCAGAAGCCACGATATGTGATAGCCTACTAGTAGGTTTATACTAATAAGAGATAGCTTTTACTAGGCCGAGGGGCTTTGGTGACGCAAGTCAGAACAAGCGCCTTTCACTCATGAGATCGTGGATTCGATTCTCTCGTTACCCACTCATGTGAAAAGAGTCAGTGGGTGCGTTTCTTTAGTGCAATCCGAATTTGGATCTTCAAATCCGATTATCGATTTTCAGTTTCATTTGACAAAATCTTAAAATAGATTCGAATCTGATGAATCCACCTGAATATATGGATTTTTCGGATTCAATCTGAATCTTGATTAGGATTCAACGTTCCTTTTGAGCTTCTGGCCTTCTAGCATGCACCTTGACCCGACCGTAAGGTATAGTGGGACAGAAAACTTATTGTAAAAATGGCGGGAAAATTCCGATTCTCATAATTCGTTCCATTTGTTTGACGAATCCAAAGAATCCGAATCCTAAAAATCCAAATCTAGATTTACAAAAGGAACGCTCCTAGTCAACGCTTTTGCTAAGTCGTGAGTTTTCTTCGGGTGCTGAGGTTTCCTCCAACAGGAAATGTTGAGAAGTAGGATAAACACAGTTAAGAAAAGTTAATGTAGAAAGAAATCTTAAACCTCCAGGAAGACGAATTGATTCAACGTTGGATAAACGTCATTTTGCCCGCTGGGAAATAACTGTCTGTATTAATTGTTGAAGTGTTTTGTAGATGGAAATTTTGAGTGTACATTTATTAGACTTGACCAGGATGCAACTATATAGACCCTCTGGGCAGGAATCAGACCTGCGGTCCTGCGATTGCGGTGCCGCACTCTAACCAACTGAGCTATATACAGAGAGACAGTTGTCGAGCTCTAACCACAAGTTCATGTATAAATACTAAGGCGATGCTAATGTGCGATATATGGATAATTATCACATACTTGTACCTTTATCAGGTAGGAAGCAGCGGGACATAAAAACGATATCGTCCCGGATATCGTTTTTTGTCCCGGATATCGTTTTTTGTCCCGGATATCGTTTTTTGTCCCGGATATCGTTTTTTGTCCCGGATATCGTTTTTTGTCCCGCTAAATTTCGCACCTTGTCAAAACAAAGATGGCCGACTCGAGGTTCGTGTTGGTTGATGTCGACAGTTTTATCGAAGGAAACAAGAACGATAATACAAAACGAAAGACTTAAATTGTATATTTATTTATATGAATTGTCTATTTATTTTCTAAAATCATATTTGTTCAGTAAATGATGAATTTTTTTGAATTCTAAAATGATCCTATTTTTTCAAAACTGTTTACTTTTGGGTATCAAACCCTGATAAAGGTACAAGTATATAATAAATAGGTTATCGTACTCGGGATTCGGTGATATCAGTTTTATCGCTCTCGGGACGATATCACAATTGTCCCTCGCTCGCTGCGCTCGCTCGTGACAATTGTGATATCATCCCTCGAGCGATAAAACTGATATCACCTCATCCCTTATATGATAACCTATATATATCAGGATTTTGGGCACCTCGATAGGACTAATTGTCGAAGGGATTTGCAGATGGAAATTTCGAGTGGAATTAATGGCCCATCTGCATTATAGACTAAATTTTGATCTAGACAAAAATTTCATCACAGCTTGAAAGAGCATCGCAAAATTAGTAATATTCCAAAGTTTCGTTGCAAAATGTTGTAAAATGCGGATAATATAACCTTGCGAAGTTTCAGTTTTAGATCAAAATTCTATCTATCAAATATCTACCTCTACAGAAAAATGGTGATTAACTTATTTATGTTTAGCTGGCTTTTACGTCTTCATTGTTGAGTAATAGGCACACAATGAAGGTGGGAAGTCATTATCAACTCAATAATTATTATCAAGGATGTGTCTCGCCCACGAGTTACAGTTATTTTTGTTCTTAATAAGGGATGAGACTTACATTACAGAACTTCTCAAAAGAACAGTTTGTCCCGAGTATAACTGAATTGCGGAAACATTTTCAGAGAGACTATGCGGTTCTCTATCCAGTATAAATTAAGTCAGTTTAGTTTAGGTTTCAGTAAGAGATTGTTCTCACTGGACCTCCAGGAAGAACAGTATAGAACTTATAGAGCTATCAGTATAAATCAAGTGATAGTATAAATAAAGTCAGTTTTGTTTAGATTTCCTCTTGTAGTAACACTGGATCAATAAGAGATTATTCTTACTGGACCTCTAAGGAGAACAGTTAGAAGTGATAGAGCTAACCAGCGCAAATAGTTAAAATATCATTAATAATTCATAACGAAAATTTAAAAAGCAATTAATGTTTAATCTAAATGTCTGTAAATCGGATAAGATTTCGTCCTTATTAACATGAACGTTAGCTTCGATTTTCTTGGCTATAAAGAACCATATCGCCAAAATAGTTGATAAATCAATTAATGTTTGTTCAAAAATTATTTTGGATCCACCTTTAGGAATATTGATGTAAGATTGCAGAAGGGGTCTGCTTTAAGCGAGTGATGTGTGGCTTTATAGAATATTGTCTGCCCATAAGACGTGCAACTATTTTTTTATCCCACACGTATATGTCTTGTTTGTTGAGTTATATGTACACCATGCATGGTCAATGTTACTGGGAAAATCATCATCAACTCACTTCATTCAATAAGTGTCTCGCCCACGAATCCCCCCACAGTGCTTCATTTTTATCGATTATTTATAACTTCGAAATTATTAAAATCTAACTACGTCTGCAATCATTATGCTCTTTGACGTTTATACTGTATGTGAATTCAAGAGTACAAACTACAAAATAACCTAGAAATTAGTACAATTTTTAACCCAGAGTCTCTCAGATTTCCTTCTTCATCCTTGTCTACCTTTCTCTATCTTATCTTAACCCTCTTCGTCTTTCTCTATCCTTGTCTATCTTTTTCTATCCTTCTTCGTCCTTCTCTACCTTTCTATCCTATTCTGTCCTTCTCTATTTCTTTTCATCCTTCTCTACCCATTCCTATCCTTTTATATCCCTTAACATTCTTTTCTACCCCTCTCTATCCTTATATATCCCTCTCTATCCTTATATATCCCTCTCTATCTTACCCTACCTCTATTCTCTCTATCTTATCCTACCCTCAAAAATAACCTCTGTTTCTTGGTAACAACTAAGTATCACACAGTACGCATTTTTATTTACAATCTTCAACCACGCAAACATATTGTAAATATAACAAAATTTTTATACAATCATTACTTGCTACCTAATATATTTAAAACCGGTTTTCCACTAGCGTCGCGGGAACCGCCTGTATATATATATATATATATATATATATATATATATATATATATATATATATATATATATATATATATATATATATATATATATATATATATATATATATATATATATATATATATATATATATATATATATATACATATACATATATATATATATATATATATATATATATATATACATATATATATAGAGGATATTTCACGGTGGCACGGAAATATGACTTTTATTTTCGAGTGGTGAAAACAATATTTTACGAACGAGCGCAGCGAGTGAGTAAAATATTGTTTTTAACACGAGAAGATAAAAGTCATATCTTCAAGCCACCGTGTAATGTTCTGTTTATTATATAGTCCCAAGCAAAAAATTGTGAAATTTCACGCTCAAAAGCAAATTGGAAAAAGTCACGTGATCGATATCTTCACTAGTGAAGAAATGGAAAATATCTCACTGTGCATTTTTCAGTATCTCACTTTCTACTATATAAT